GCCTCCGGAGGAGGAGGCCGAGGCCCCGGCCGCCGCCCAGAGCCCCCGCGGGCCTCTGGGCCCGGGCCCGGGCGTGGTGCTCTACCTGTGCCCGGAGGCGCAGTGCGGACAGACCTTCGCCAAGAAGCACCAGCTGAAGGTGCACCTGCTGACACACAGCAGCAGCCAGGGCCAGCGGCCCTTCAAGTGCCCCCTGAGCGGCTGCGGCTGGACCTTCACCACGTCTTACAAGCTCAAGAGACACCTGCAGTCGCACGACAAGCTGCGGCCATTTGGCTGCCCGGTGGAGGGCTGTGGCAAGAGCTTCACCACCGTGTACAACCTCAAAGCGCACATGAAGGGGCACGAGCAGGAGAACTCCTTCAAGTGCGAGGTGTGCGAGGAGAGCTTCCCCACGCAGGCCAAGCTCAGCACCCACCAGCGCAGCCACTTCGAGCCCGAGAGGCCTTACCAGTGTGCGTTCTCTGGCTGCAAGAAGACGTTCATTACTGTGAGCGCCCTGTTTTCTCATAACCGCGCCCATTTCAGGGAACAGGAACTCTTTGCCTGCTCCTTCCCTGGCTGCAGCAAGCAGTATGACAAGGCTTGCAGGCTCAAGATCCACCTGCGCAGCCACACGGGAGAGAGACCTTTCCTTTGTGACTTTGACGGCTGTGGCTGGAACTTCACCAGCATGTCCAAGCTCCTAAGACACAAGAGGAAGCACGAGGACGACCGCAGGTTCACCTGTCCCGTGGAGGGCTGTGGCAAGTCCTTCACCAGGGCCGAACACCTGAAAGGCCACAGCATCACCCACCTGGGCACGAAGCCTTTCGTGTGCCCCGTGGAAGGCTGCTGTGCCAGGTTCTCCGCCCGGAGCAGTCTCTACATCCACTCCAAGAAGCACCTGCAGGACGTGGGCACTTGGAAAAACCGTTGCCCGGTCTCCACCTGTAACAAACTCTTCACGTCCAAGCACAGCATGAAGACCCACATGGCCAAGAGGCACAACCTCAGCCAGGACCTCTTGGCCCAGCTGGAAGCCGCCAACTCCCTGACGCCCAGCAGCGAGCTCACCAGCCAGGGGCAGAACGATCTCAGTGGTGCAGAGCTGGTGTCTCTCTTCTCCGATGTGCCTGGCCACAGTTCTGCTGCGGTGCTGGACACGGCCTTGGTCAATTCTGGCATCTTGACTATTGACGTGGCCTCCGTGAACTCGACCCTCGCGGGAGGTCTCCCTGCCGATAATAATAACCATTCCTTAGGGCAAGCGGTGGACCCCCGGGCCCTGCGGGCCCCCAGTGACCTTCCCCAGAGTCTGGATACCTCTCTCTTCTTCGGAACCTCGGTGACTGGTTATCAGCAGAGCCCCTTAGACATGGACGATGTCTCCGGCGGAAACGTGGGGCTCTTCGGCTCCTTGGCTCTGAAGAACTCAAGCCTGGAGCCCCAGGTTTTGACGCCCAGCAATAAGTTAACCGTGGACACGGAAGCTCTGACCCCCTCCAGCACCCTCTGTGAAAACAGTGTCTCCGAACTACTGACCCCTGCCAAAGCCGATTGGAACGTGCATCCCGAGTCTGACTTCTTTGGGCACGAGGAAGAAACCCAGTTTGGATTCTCCAATCCGACAGGAAGCCATGGTTCTCAGAAAGAAACAGATCTGATCACGGTGACTGGCGCCCCCTTTTTGATATGAACCCACTCTGCCTGTGCCCTGCCATGTGGCTCACTCTTAGGACGCTCGAATCTGAGGACGTTCGGGATGGAGTGCTTACGTGCAGTCGTTTCTTGCTGCCTTGCGAAGGAACGCATCTGTGGACTTCAAATTTAGAGGTTTAAATTCTCATCCCGAGTCTGGAACTGATGAGTTCTGTGACTGTGAGCAAGTCTCTTAACCTAGCTGAGCCTTAATTTTTTTTTTTTACTCATAAAGGAGGTGGTTTGGTTAGATTTCTTCTCTCTTTTCAGCTTTTTAGGTTCTTAATATTAAGTGTTTTCTTCCTTGAAATTTATTGTGACAACCCAACCATGATATGCCCTTATTTTGAATATAAAGTAATTTAAGTTATGTGATAGTGAATATATGCTTTGCACTTGACTTCATCAATTGTAATTCCATGAATCATCTTATTTGTCGTTATTCTCTTCCCTTTTTTAGTACTATTTTTGAAGGAGCACCTGATATTAGTTAGTAATAAATATTCAGTACAGATCTTCAGAATGCATTGGTCTTTAGAAAAAAATTATTATAATAATTTTTATATCAATTAAAATCCATGTTTTTAACTTCATATTGTTATATAAATGCTACCTGGTTTAATTATCTTTAATGTTCTGAAGGTTATTTTAATCTCTATGTTCCATTTTCCCCCTTAAGAATTTATTCCTTGAAAGTAATTATTTTTTGACTAGAATTTGCCACATCCGTCTTATTTTTGATGATTGTGTCCTTGTTTCACTTGATTTTCTCAATTTTGTAATGATATTGATCATATTCAAATATTATTTTTGCATGGATGTTTTATAGTTTGCCATGTGTTCTTTTAATTTCCTTACAATGTCTCCCTTTCTTTTTGTGATACTGAAAGCCTTTGCTGATCAAGACATTTGTTTGTGATTCCTTTTGCTTCTGATATGTTGAATTGTTCTTGTACAATCGCTAACAGTTAGGGGAGAAGGAAATGTTGTTTAGAACACTTAGGAAAGTTTAATAGAAATATTATTCAGTGCCGGAATATTTTCTTAAATGATGTTAAAACTAACAAGACAAAATAGCAAAGAGAATTGTGTTTCCTGTTGTCATTGTTGATATTTCTGACATCTTTTGGGGGTAGTAGGGAGGTTGTGTTGTAGAATTGCCATCTAGGACTTTGACATGAAAGAGACTCAGGGTCCAGTCCGTGCTCTATGGTGTTGGAGAGGTTGTCTTGAAGATATTGGTCTCACTAAATCTCAGTTTCCTGTTTACTGATTAATGTGTATGCACATGACTAACATTCCTTAGACTTTTCATACTGTTATCAACACATAAGAAAAAGCATGTATTTCAGCACATTTTGGTGACTTTATATGCTCTTTTTACAGTCTCAGTTTTTCATGTTGTTCGGGGAAAAATAGACATAATTCAGCCCCATTGGTATTCAAGATAACAAAGTGTTGTGAGGTTTAGAATGAAACAGGAAAGTGTCTCTTTATTCCTTACTCTGAATAATTTTCTCTCCCAAATTGTTGTGGGAAAAAACAGGAGTGGAAACACTGCTCACATGGTTATTTCCATACCTCTCCATTTGATCAGTCTGTCAACATCCTTCTTCTGTTTCTAGCATCAGGCTTCTCTCTGTGACTGTGGAGCTTTGAGTCTTTCAAAATCTGATTAAGGAACAGAGGGTGATCATATCCTTTGTGATCTGAAGAGAGCATTGCTTATAGTTTTCCAGAAATGAAAGATGGAATCTCAATAGTGTGTAAACTCTGTACAGAGAGTATAGCATTTTTAGTTTGTGGAATGTTTTCATAACTTATGTCTTTCGTTTTTGTTCAGAGCAACCCTGTGAAGTAGGTTTAGCAAAGTCTGTGCATGTTTCATATTATGATTTAGCCAGCTCACATTCCAACTGCTTTTGGCTATGACTGACAAGTCTATATATAGCTTCTTCACAAAAGAAGAAATGTTTTTCACCTCTCCTGTCTGCAACTTTCAAGATTCACTCTCCTCTGTCATAACTGGTTGCTTTGTTCCAACTTAATTGGTTTCTGTTTGCTTCTGCTTACTTTTTCTATAGTCTAATCCCTCGCCTATGCATCCTAGTCCTTACATACCTTTCTTTTTTGTTTGTTAGAGGATAGACATTTTTTCTGTGACTGTCCCTTCAACATTTTCCTCATGGCACATTTTCTTCCAGTACTAGCATTCATTGAGTGTATACTATAGTTCTGTGTGTACAGTAAAAAGCTATTTTCTGAGCTTAAATAATACTGTGTGTATATATGATTCAAAGCATAAAGGAGATTATTTTTTATGCTGTTCAAATGAGAAGTGAATTTCTGTTTCATTGTTTCTATTTAAAAAGTTTTTGCCAGGGAGTTCTGCTAATACTTTCTTATCTGTTCTAGTGTACTAGTCTAGTAGCATTTGCATGTAGATGTCTATGGATGACAGACTTTGGAAATGCACTAAAAATTTGCCACTATGAAATGTTTCTTTGTTGTGTGTATGTTGGTATTTATACACACCCACAGATACTCACAAATATTTTAAAAATGGTTGTACTCATTTAGTGAAAATGAAAAGTAGACATACTTTTATAAATCAAAGAAATGCTTAGAATTTTATTTTGTCTACCCATTTGACAGTTTTCCATGTTTGCGTTGGAACTATTTGTATTCATAAAATATATTTCAAAAGTGTTATTCATTCGAAAGTTTCTAAATAGACCACTATTTTTTTGTGTTTGGCAAATAAGTCTGTCAAGGATGAGCTGAATACATAAGTCATGAAAATAAAGTAAATTTATAAACATGAAGGTAAATTAATGCTGTGATTTTTATTTATTTATTTATTTAATTCCTTAAAGTAACTTTTTTTTCAATAAGGAAGCAAAAACTATATTTTCCCTATTTACTCCTAGAACTTTCAGAGGGCAAATGCTACTTTTCTTAAAGATAGCAGATTTTATTTGTCCATGTCCTCACAAAGTTTCATTGAACTAAGTTTTTCAAATTGTTTCTTTTTCAACTTTTTTTAATAGCAAAATGTTGAACAGCTTTGTGTTTTTAAGGTAAGAAGGCTATTTTTGTTGCTGGTGGAATAAAATTGTCAGCACTCCTTTTTAATAATAGTGAATGGTTAATTTTATCATTTTATTTTCCTTTCCTTTTGCTTCTATTTAATTTTTGGTTTATTTTACTGACTGAAAAATCAGTAACAAAATAGCTTAAAAGGAATTCTGTTTCTAAGGACTCTATTGATCATATTGATCTTGAAGTAAAGTATTTGGGCCTTTAGTTGAGGATGTGGTGCAATGGTAGAACAGTTGCCTAGCTGACATAAAGAATTTGATTTTATCACCACAAAAAAATGTGTGTGTGTGTATGTATGTATGTGAATACCACAAAAGCACATGTGCGTGTCTATGTTTTTATATAGATGTACTTTGTGGGTCTTGTGTTTGTCAATCAATACAATGAAAAACTACTTGAGCAGTAAGCATGAGTCATAATGTTTCCTTTATGTTCCTATTGAGGAAACAGATGTGGGCGCAAATTGTAAGCTGGATGTTGCCCTGCACTTATTTAAAATTAATAATTATTTATGCACATAAAATATTGATTCTTTGAACAGAATATATATGTATATATATGTGTGTGTATATACATATATATGTATGTATATATATATATATACATATATATATATCCTTGACCTTTGAGCAAATCACACTTGATAGGAGATAGAAAATTAATGTATTATACAGTTACAGAGTAAAAACAGTTTTAATTTGGTATCAGAATGATGCAAAGGTAACAAAGAAAGAGTGATGTGATATTTGTTAAGAACAGATATGAGAGCCTGTAAATGTTTTAATAGAGAAGCCAGTGATAATGATGTTTTTAAGTTAATTTAATAGCGGTTACAATGAAGACAATGAAGTGTGAAGCTATGAGTGGTGTCAGTGATTTTGAAAGAGAAGGCAAATATATTAGAGATATTTTTGAGATTTCTCTAGCACATGAAGAGAGACTATAATTTAATATTTTAGCAAGACAGCCATAGATGTTACTATAGAAAGGCTGACAAGAGAAACTGGGAATGGTAACTCACATTTCCTTGGGAATTGTAATAGAATGAGAGGAGAAAGGAAGAGCATGCAAATTTGGTGTATTTAATTAAATGACAAGTGATGACACAATTATTCATAAGCTGTCAATATTGATGTTTATTCCGACTCTGTATAGCAGCAGACGGTCACTTCCTCTTTCTTAGTTCCTTCAGGCATTCTGTGAACTACCTACACATAGTACAAGAGGTATTTTCATCAGATCTGCAACTGACTAGTAGGCAGTGATTAGTCTTAAGGACTGGAAAGTACTTGAATTGTAGCCAGTACAATTGAGAATTAAATTCTTAATTTATGTTTAAGCTTTAATTGTGGCAATGTAAAATATTGATTTTCTGTTATGACCCACTCTATTGTTCTGGGAGGTTTACATTTCACTTTGGCCATGGGAAAATATTTTTTCACTTTTCTTTTTAAAATAATTTTTTGATTCAGTCATGAAAAAATTGATATCCAAATTGAGATATATTATCAATGTAAAAAAACCATGCTATAAACATTTAAATATTACTGATTACATGAATAATATTTTGACATATTTGTTTAAAATACTAGAATTAATTTTCCAGATTCTTTTTATTATTTATATTTGTTTTAACTACTTGATTTTTTTTTGAGACAGGGTTTCTCTGTGTAGCCCTGGCTGTCCTGGAACTTGCTCTGTAGACCAGGCTGGCCTCAAACTCAGAGATCACCTGCCTCTGCCTCCCAAGTACTGGGATTAAAGGCATGTGCCACCACCTAGCTAATTGCTTGATTTTTTTTTTTTGTGATAGGATATTGCTGTGTAGTCCAGGCTAGTCTCAAGTTTGCTTCAACCTCTTAAGTTCTGAGATTATAGGCATGTACCAATACACAAAATCTTTTTACTTTCTTAATGTAGCTACTAGAAAATGGGAAATTATGTAAATAACTTGCCATACCTGCAAAAATAAAGTAAAATACAAAATTGTACTGTAGGCTCTCCTTTTATTAACTATATCAATCTGGTTGTTACCTCCCTCAGGATGCTGTATATCAAAATGAGGTATTCTACCTCTCCTGTTTGTTTGAGGCTCTGTTTTTTAAAAAAAATCAGTCAGTAGTTTACTTTATGCTTAAGGTAAATAATAACAAAACCTTACTCTGTTATAAAGGACTGCATTATAATGTGGAGGACAGTATTTTGTCACTGATTTCAGCAATTATTTTATTATAGTATAAATATTAGGTTTCCTTGTAGCAGTTTCCAAACAGAATCTTTGTTGTTTCTTTTCCCCCATTCCCATTCTCTAATGTGTATTTTCATACTTTTGTATTTTCCCTCCTTCCCCAAACCCTGGTTGCCTCATATCTAGCTTCATAATCTATACTCACTCTCACACCTCCTTATTTACATACAAGCATCAAAAGTTAGGATCTGCAAATGAAAGAATATATGATTTTTATATGAATCTTACACACCTTGCTTTATATATTTTGCAATTCTATCCATTTTCCTGCAAAACTTCATGATTCAACTTTATCTGTAGGTGAATATAATTCAGTTGTGTATCTGAGCCATGATTTCATTATCTATTTATTAGTTGAAGGACATCTAGGCTGTTTTAATTTTCTTGCTACTTTGAATAATGCAGCAATAAACATGCATGTGCAGTCATTCAAAGTAGGATACAGAGTTCTTTGAGAATATGCCCGAGAGTGCATATTCCTGGATCATATGGTAATTCTATGTCTAGCTTTTTGTTGTTGTTTGTTTGTTTGTTTGTTTGTTTGTTTGGAGACAGGGTTTCATCAACTGAGTTTGTAGACCAGGCTGCCCTTAAACTCACAGAGATCCACCTGACTCTGCCCCCTGAATGCTAGGATTAAAGGCATGTGCCCCCTTGCCTGACTCTATTATAGCTTTTGGAAGAGCCTCCACACTGATTTCTATAGTGGCTGTACCAGTTTGTACTTCCACCAATAATGAATAGATGTTACCCTTTCTCCATATCCATGCCAGCATTTTTTTTTTTAGCCTTAGCCATTCTAAGAGTTAGATGAAATCTCTAAGTAGTTTTAATTTGCATTTATCTATTGGCTAGGGATGTTCAACATTTAAAATATATATATATATATTTCTCAGCTATTTGTATTTCTTCTTTTGAGAATTCTCTGTTTAGTTCCATGTCCTCAATTTAATTAGCTTGTTTCCTTGGTGTTCAGGAATTTTTCTAGGATTTATTTATATATTATAGACAATTTTTTGTCAAGTGTATGACTTGTAAATATTTTTTTCTCCAATATATAGACTGCCACTTCTTTTGAATGATAGTGTCTTTTGCCATACAAAACCTTTTTATTTCCATGCAGTCTCATTTGTCAACTTTACTCTTAATGCTTGTACTATCATGGTCCTGTCTTGTTCAGAAAGTACATTCGTGTGTCTATGACTTCCTTACTTTCTCCTCTTTCAGATTAAGGGTATTAAGTGTTATGATGAGCTCCTTGATTTATTTGGACTTGAGTTTTGGAAGGGTGTGAGATAAAGATCTAGTTTCATTCTTCTACATGTTTGTAGTTTTATCAGTACCATTTGTTGAAGATGCTGTCTTTTCTCCAGTGTGTATTATTGTCCTCTTTCTCAAAATTCAGATGACCATTGGAGCATAGGTTTATGGATGAGTCCTCAATTCTATTTATCTGTGTGTCTGTTTGTATGCCAATACTTTTAAGGTTTTTAACTATACCTCTGTAGTATAATTGAAAACAGGGATGATAATACTTTCAGTGTGGTTTTTATTTAGGATTATTTCAATTATCCTGGGTCTTTTATATTTCCATATGAATTTTGAGGTTACTTTTCTTTCTGTGAAGAAATGGAAAAGTTTTAGACTTTTGATGGGGATTGCAGCAAATCTGTAGATTGCTTTTGGTAGGATATCCATTTTTACAAAATATAATCCTACAAATCCATGAACATGAGAGGTCTTCCATCTTCTGATGTCTTCTTCAGTGTCTTTATGCAATGCCTTAAAGTTTTTAATTTACAAACATTTCATTTGCTTGGTTAGAGTTATTCCAAGATATTTTATTTTACTTTAATATATTTTATTTGAGGCTATTGTAAAAGGTATTATTTCCCTCATTTCTTTTCAGTATATTTGTCATTTTTATATAGGAAGACTACTGATTTTTGTGTGTTAATTTTGTATCCTGTTACTTTCAGCTGTAAAAGTTTCATGGTGGAGTCTTTAGGGCCTTTTATGTATAAAATAATTTCCAAACAAGATTACTTTGACTTCTTCCTTTCCTATTTGTATCTTTGTTATCTCCTCTTGTCTTATTGCTGTAGCTGAGAGTTTAAGCAGTATTTTGAACAGGTGTAGAGTGAGTGGAGATCATTATTTTGTTCTTGACTTTAGTAAAAATGATAGGAGTGTTTCTCCATTTGGCATGATGTAAACAGTGGGCTTGTATATTGCTTTCATTATGTTGAGGTACATCCCTGTATCCCTAGACTCTCCAGTACTCATGAAGGGAAGTTGAATTTTTGTCAAATGCCTCTTCTGCATCTCCTGGTATGATCATGATATTTCTGTCCTTTATTCTGATTATGTGGTAGATTACATTTATTGATTTATGCATGTGGAACCATCCTTGGATTTCTGGAATGAAGCTGATTTTAAGTGGTGGGTGATCTTTTTGATGTGTTCTTGAATTTAGTTTGT